AGCACCTTCACATAGATAAGTTGTCGAAAAGCCCATCAAGTTTCTCAGTGCAATTTTAGCGATTACTGGATTGTCTTTCCGAACCAAAATGACACTAATTGTGTACTTTTAAAATACGATTTTAAAGTCTGATCACATGACATTTCAATCAACGAATCTTCTTCACTTGCTGATATTTTTAATTTTTTCAAGTAATCTTTAAAGGGATTTCTGATCCATTGGATTTCCTCTTCAATTTTAGAGAAGTAGTTTCTAAAAACAGTGATTTAAATTATGCCAATTAAAAAATATTAATTTGTAATTAAGAAAAATTAAAAATTAAAAATAACCTGAGGTTGGAAGCTACAGATTTGAGGTGATCTTGTATAGTTATAGCTGTTGCTTTATCAATTTTAACTTCGTTAGTTTCATGAAAATCATGTAGGACTGGAAATGCATTGAAGGAATCTTATTCTACTTTTAGAGCCCAACGTTGAAGCTTGATTATCATTGCATCAACTTTGTCTTGTACAAAAAACTTACATTATATATAATTATATAATTGTACACTACAATTAAAATTGATTAAATAATATTATTATGATCGGAAATATAACAAAAAAATATGTAATAATATTATTTTAAATATGTATAATGTTTAATATATTTCGCGGCCCAGTACCATGCTGCTCGCGGCCCATGGGTTGGGAACCGCTGTTCTAAAATATTGTTGAATGAAAAAAAAAATTTAGGCGATTTTAAAATTGATAAAAAAAAAACCTACACTATTGCAGCTGTTACTTTCCGCCTACACAATTACCCTAATTCCGGTATGTCGCTCGTGAATTCTTACTGAAACATGAGTGTGTATTTGAAACGGTAAATGCGGGTATATATCTACTACTACTACTACTACGTGGATCGTCCCGAACGTCTATTTCAAGACTATTAATAATTTAGGCGTAGGTATTAAAAATGCCCGTTCGTCGCGTATAGATATTAGGCACGCGACGAGAGTCTACTTTTCGAGGAGTGCGGTGGTAAATTAAAAAAAAAAAAAAATTAAAAAAATAACCTATAAATATTATACTCCGTTAACGGTAACGTTTCTGGGGTAACCGAAAACACGTCAAGCCACTCTGGACGCCCAGAGGCGTGTTTACTATATTTAGGTGGGTGATTTAGAAATTTTAGGACCGAGCTAGTTTTACGGTAACAGAATCGTAGTATTATTTATTAGAAAGCCAAAATAAACATCGGTGCTTCACGCATAAACTCTAGGGCACTAAGTAATTGGACCGTTTTTCACGCATTTAGGTCGACAGGCAGTAAAGGAACACAAAATATACCCCCGATATAATACCTACTTAGGTAATTTGATTTTAATTTTGGACAATACAAGTCGATGTTTTCACAGGAATTATTTATTTTCTCGTTTAGGGTTTGTAAATTTCTTGCTTATTTAGCAAATTGTTAATTAGTTAAAATACTTAGCTGCCGTACTAAATTGTTACTAATTTTCCAAAAAAAAATATATTATCGACAATTATTTCACCTTCACCGAGCGCGTAAATTCTGGCAACGCAAAATCTGTTTTATCGAAACAGAATATAATACGTGCGTTGGACGAGCCTCGGTTTTTTACGCAAAGCTCCGACGAGTTGCTCAATACAATTACGTAACATCATTATTTCAATTGTCCTATATATTCATATTATCCCAGTAGACTAACGAGTTTGGCGCGTAATTATTTTTTTTTTTTTTACTGCCGAACAAAGTTTAAAATTTCGTTGAAAGGCTTTCTATGTGTTCCCGCCTATATATACCCATCGCCCACCTCATAAATAAAACTTCGATGACTATACGGGACGATCAACAACTTTTTTAATAAGCGAATTCGATTTCTATTTTCGTTTGTGTTTTTTTTTTTATTTATATATAACTACTGCGGAATCGTTGTAAGCTTTATTTTAACACTATTTTTCAATTGTTTATCCCTCTTTACATCTGAAATGCGTACGTATTTCGGATTTTCAAATAGCGACCCCGCTCCCCATTTTAAAAACAGAGGTTATTTTTCTAGCCCTTTTTTTGATTAATAGGCACAATAATAGTTTAACGTGTTTATCGTTTATGAGTTATAATATTTTAAAGCTTAGATCGGAGTAGTCGTTTATCGGGTACTCGTAAACTGCGCCCCGTTCGTTATTACCACATTTTATATTTTATGCAACTTCAGTTAATTTTCCGTCAAAACTCATTCGACACTCGCTAAAATATTTAAATATACACCATAAACGACTATCGACTGTGTAATAAAAAATTACACATTCCGTAAAACCACAGTATTACAATGAAACCGAACAATAAATTCGCGTCGAAGCATTTTGGTATAAAGCTGTCAATTTTTTTTTAAATTTTACTCGAGCGCAGTCGCACAACCGCCGGGCTTATCGAATTTGCGTACAGAACGAGAAAGGGCGTTCACAATTGAAAATCGTTTAAGGTCAAAAGGGTAAAAATAAAAAAAAAAAGTAAATATTCTCAAAAGGACACGATGCCCGCGCTTATTGCGCGCGTCTTGCAAACGTGTGCGAAAAATCGAATTTCCGTTCGGAAAACATTGTGTTTTAATCATCAGTTTTAATTTAGAATGAATTGATTTGTAATTCGGACTCGGAAGATACGAACATTATCTGCGCTGTAATATCATTTCGATAGTGAAACGTCGCGGCCGTACCAATAATATCTCGCTTGAAAATTGAAATATCGAATGTGTTGTTGTTGTTTTTTTTTTTTTTCTACCTTCGCGTTCGACCGTCGTCGGCCGCCTATCCGTTCTCGTAGTGTGTAACGTCGGGAACCTATCGACGGCGAAAAGTCGTCACGGCCCCGGCCGTCGCCGAATCCGCCGTGTCGGAACCGGCGTGCGTCTTCGTATCAGGGGGGAAACGGGAATGCGAAGAAAAAAAAAATAAATAATAAACCGCGCGAACGTTCGCGTCCGAGAAAGTTGTTCGGGCGCGCGTAAGCGGATCGCCCTGTATACGACACGTGGGTCCTCGGAAATCCGAACCGGTACCGGCGATAGTATTATTGCCAATAAAATAACGTCGACAATGCAATTATTATTATTATTATTATTATTTTATTACGGCCGTGATGTAACTAAACGAGCGGCGGCGGCGGCGGCGGCGGCGGCGGCGGTGGCGGGCGGTAAGCGCGCGCGTCGTTCACGTCCGTCGACCGGCCCGTGTGCCTCCTCGACGCTCGATCCGAATATTCCCCCCAGTCGTGAATTCTCCGCGGTCCGAGTCGTGTCGCGCCGCCGTCTGTCGCCCGCCGTACGTTGTCAATTCATTTTTTGCGGTGTCCGCGATCTCCTCCGAAACCCGTGTCCGATTTACGTTTCGTCCCGTCGTCCGCGCGTCCGACCGAATTGTCGTGTTCCGCATGCCGTTGTGATTTCCGTGCGGTTTTTATTTTTGTTTTTTTTTTCCCCCCATCTCGAAATTCCCGCCGCGCGATGCTCACGGCCGCCGACGATTCCGCGTTGCCCATAATGATCACGGACCGCCGGGACGTCCTGCTCGTCCGGGGCCCCGCGCACTATTCAGACAGCGTCGTCACCAACGTCCTGTACTTTTTACTGTCCGTCTACTTCTATCTCGACCTGCAGGGCGGCATGTTTTTCTCCTAATAACAATCAAACGAGGTAAACCTCTCTCTATCTCTCTGTCTGTCTCTCTCGTCATTTCCGCGCGTACAGCGCGTGTACGACCGCAATGAGAAGATTGTTTAAAACGCCCCCCCCCCTCTCCCCATCTCCCGCGCCGGCACACATTCGTTCGTACACACACACACACACGTATATGTATATGCGATTACGAAACTGGGTATATTGTACTATTTGGCGCGCGAAAAAAAATGAACCCCCCCCCCCCCCGTCGTCGTCGTCGTTAGCGTTTCTGTTCCGTCGCGTCGTTTTACGCGTTCGTTAGACGCGAAATCTGAGCTTTTGTGCCGCGCACGAAATCGCCTCGCGATTTGAATAATATCGCCGCGGGACGCGACGCGCGCCCGCGCACACACAACGCGCGCACAGGTGTGCTCTCTCCCCGTGCATATTTACGGTAATGCGTACGAGCGCGGCGGCGTCTGGTTTAACGCGATAAAACGGCGATAATTACGCCGTGTCGTTCGCACGGGGGAGGGGGGGGGCGAGGAGGAGCCCGTTCGACGTCGTTTTCTTTTTGAATTTTTTTTTTCCCGTTAAAAACTTTGACCCAGAACTGCCCAGCCGAAACGTCGGACGCGTAACGTATCCGCCGCCCGGTGCCGGGCCGTCACGAATCATGCGGGCCGCCCGCGCGCGACGCACAACGGTATTGTCGTACGAAGATGGTAATGAAAAAATAAAAAAAAAAAAAAACCGGATATAATCGTCCCGACGGAACCCGCGGCGGCGCAGAGCAGTCGGTGTGTACCGCGACGCCCGTAATAATAACGCCCGGGACAATCGCGTTCGTAATTCAACGTTATCAACGTTAGTAAACGGTTCGGATTGAAACGCAGTAGGACGCGGTTTTATCGCGCGCATTATGTCGTGCCCGCGATGCGTTGGCCGCCGCCGCCGCGTTATCGTCAGCTCGGAGAGCGCGCGTCATAAATTCGCGTCAAACGCGTTTCGGATTCAGAGCGGTTGCGTATTTATTGTGTTTTTTTTCTTTTTTGACGGCAATTTTCCCGTTCCGATTTTCGAGCGTAGCGCCGCTTTTCCCGAAAGGAAATCCATCCGGCTGGGATGGCACGTCGGAGAGGTCGGCTTTCGATATTTCCCAGCGGTTATCGTTGTTGAACGGGAAAATACACGAAACGTATTGTTTTCGAATCGTTAATGTTACGGGCTTTTGAAACGTGTATGACCGAACACCGTTTCAGAATCGTTTTTCGTTAGCAAAGCTCGACCGTCGCGTACAGATAAACGTTAAATACCCCCTCTGTATCTCAACTTCTCGCCTACGACAGTGGCCCACCCACCGTGCGAAGTATGTCCGTATTTTTATTTTTTTTTTTTTTTCCGCGTAATTATATCGTCTCGGAACCGCCGTAGTTGTTTTCCGCAAAGAAAAAAAAAAAAAGACGGACGTACTTCGCACAGTGGGCGGGCCACGGTCGTTGGCGAGAAGTCGGGCAGGCGAGATACAGAGGGAAATCCGATTTGCGTCCGTGCGCCTACGTATACAACGCCAACGAAAAACGATTCGGAGTTGAGTTTCTCTGTTACGCAATATTATGTTATACGTACATTTTCCCCGCGTTTCCTCCCCCCCCCTCCCAACCCCCAATTATTATGAAAACCGCTCGGACGATCGACAAACCGCTTCCCTAACGTGCGCGCCGTGTTGTGCTCGCCTACGCTCCGGATCGAAAAGGGTACAGGAGGGAGTGTGTGCGGTTGTTGCGTAGCGATTAGTCCTCGCGAGATTTCGCGAAAGCGCCGACGACGGTTCCAATACGTCCAATTATTATTATTAATTCCCTCGGGGGATCCGCGCAGTTTTCCGGCGTTTCTCCTCCCCCGCCCCGCCCCCCGTAGTTTCCCCGCCGTGACGTGACGGGGGAGGGGGGGAGGGAAACCAGTCGCCGTGGCGAGACCCGTGACACGATTACGTCGGGGCGGCCCCGGTTGCGCGTCGCCCCCGAACTCTCGATTTCGATTTTGTAACGGCACCGTCATTACGTTATGGAGACGACGATCGTATTATTATTGTTATTGTAGTCGTCGCCGTAACGGGTATTACGCCGCCGTTTACGGATCGTGTCCGCGCGCGTTCCGTACCGTAAAACGGGCGCCGGGTCGTGAAAGAGTGGCGCGGAAACATTCGGAATGAAAAAAAAAAAAAAAAAAAAAAACCGATAATAACCGTTCGTAATCTCCGTCCCGTTTCCCGTTTCAGAGGAGATTCCCCGGGAGCTACGCCGTACATTAATCGACAAAAACCGCCGCGTTTTGCCGACGTTTGGTCGGCGATCGCGATCGAATTCGACCAAAACGTTTTTCCGCCGAATTCCCCGCGACCTCCCCCCCCACCTCACTCCTTTAGATTTAAAAAAAAAAAAAAACGATTGTCGAAAATCGAACGACGAATCCCGCCGCCGGTTTCGGGACAACGCATTTCGGACGGTTGTATTCTTCTGTAACGGGTATCCGTTCGTTATTTGTTTCATCGATTTCCGCGGGTTATGGCCCATGAACTTGTTTCTATGTATGTTTACATATATGTTTTATATTGGTTTTATTGTTTTTTTTTTTTTTGTATTTTGTGCTTATAAACAACTTTTCTACCGGTAATCGAACGTTTTACAGGGACTTTCTAGTAGCGTTTCTAGTTTTTCTAGTTGGTGCATTGAAGGAATTATTTTTTGATTTTCCCCGCAGGGTACGAACGGGAAAACCGGGATTCGGTAATCCCGGAAATCTTGGTAATCGCTGCAGGGAAAGTCGTGCATAGTATTCTGAAAACCGATGTACGTGATTCACCGGCGGTTTATGCGGTTTTCTTAACGGGAACGTGAAAAACTGACAATTTTCGTTGTACATTCACGTCGCTTATATGCGTATTATTTCCTTGACAATAAGGTGAAAAAAAAACGATCAACAACACTCCGCTCAGAATTGTTTTTCCGTCGTTTACGCACGTGTATATACGTACCGAATTGAATTACTCTGTACATCCTTCGTTTCAACTAGCCTCTTAAAACATCACACCCGTCGACAGTATCGGCTGTTTTTTTTATCGCAATATTAAAATACTAGCTCAATATATATGACTATAATATAGCCTTACAGGCACGGAAATGTTGCGTACGCGTGTGTTGTTTTGTCGAAATTTCTCGAATTAGCGGGGTTGACCTTAGCCGAATCAATCGGACGAATTGAAAACGAAACAAAAAAACAAAAACAATATCGTATACGTAAAACGCGACACCCGCCTTTCGGAGCCGCTTCTGCGATGCGGCCTTCGTCGTACCTTCTAATCGTATTTACCGCGGTCGTATAATAATATTTCGATAAATATATCGCAATGGGAAAATAACGATTGTTTTATTATTTTACGAGTCGTCGTCGTATACCTTTATTTATTTTTTTTTTCTTCCACGGTTTTCGTGTAGTAGGCAACCTGTGCCATTCATCCGTAGCCTTCGGCTTGTTGTTTTCAAAACGAGATACGTTAACGTACCGCGTGTAATAATATAATATTTTGTCATGCGTGCTGTAAAACAATAACACTCAACAGTATGGAAACAGAGCAAAACAAACCAGAAAGAAAGAAAAAAAAAAACGACAAGACCGGTACTGGTAAATGGCCCAACACTGTGGCGGTGGGTGTGCCGCCTTCGTAGGTGGGAAAGTGGGATCTATGAAATGTTATTTAATTTATATTTGCAACAACGAATCGTTGCTAATAAAATACGATTTAGAGCGAATTTCCGCTGCATATATTATAATATTATGTTAAAATACGTTTACGTAAAACCGAAAACTACCGAAAAGCTCTCTAGGTTTTTCGATTTGAACAGTTTCTGGTTTAAAAAAAAAAAAAAATTTTCCAATAACCGCATGATGATAAAGCGTACAAAATTATCTCCTTCGGTCGTGACTAACACTGTTTTATCTAAATAGACGCTATTTTTATGTAGTCATAACGACCTGTAGCTATCGATGATTGCTTTTAATTATAATTATTTGTTTACTGTAAATTGTCTTTCGGATCAAAGCAATTAATTAAATGTATTTAATTTTCTAATTTGACATAAATACATAATGATAATTATAAAACGATTATAATTTTTATAAATCGAGGTTGTTTTTTTTTCTTTTCTTTTTTTTTTTTTTTCGATTTTTTGACCTTAAAATATACCGTTGAATAAAAACAGTTACTACGTACGTTCTCCAGATAGCATTATGTCGACTGAACGGTGAATTATATAATTTTGAGTGTACATTCATAGTAACGCATATATTTTTCTTACGTGTTTTTAACGAGCTGATAACAGAATCACCGAATTCGCTTTCAAAAATATCCTATAAAAACAGGGTCGCTGAGCGTTAAATGATTTTTTTTTTTTCGGAACGCGTTATAGTTTCCATTCCGGCCTATTATTATAATAAAACTCATTATACCTAACGACCTCAAAAATCACCTTTTCGGACGGCCGTGGAAAAAACCTTTATCGCGACGAATACAATCCATTTCGATTGATTTGTATCGCGTTCGCACTTCCGCCATCGGCCATTCCCTGCCCCCTTTACATAGTCTGGTACGTGTAATAATAATAATACCGTGTTGTAATTTACGTGCAAATCGAGGTCCGATTCTATTGCAAACGAGAAATCGCCACGATAAAAATCGTGAACGCATATGTTTTAATCTATAATCGCGCAAACTGGGTGTACTCGACGTCAAATCGTTTTGCTCTGTAAACTTATAGATATAATATACGCATATATAATAGGCATATAAATGTATAATTATTTTTTTTATAGGCTGTTATACAATTTTAACGTTACGTAATTAGACGATTAGTTTTTTTACAAAAAATAAAAAACCAGTCGAGCAAAGCGCTTGGCATCGCCGCCGCAGCGACGTGTGGGAAGTCCGAAAGGCATAAAGGACGTATTGGGTAATTCGGTTCGTTATCGCAAGTAACGTTGCTAGTAATCGTAATGAACCTGCGGTTCTGAGCGGAGTGGCTGCTGGACTCGGCGGTATCATCGGAGGGTAAATCATTAACGGAAATCGGTGCACAAATACGCTTGAAAATCACAGAAATCGTTGATAATCTAATTAGGAAATCGTTGGTAATCTTATAGGAAATCGCGGTTTTTTTTTTTTTTTTTGGAATCGGGTGTACACAATATTCATCAGTGATTTACCCTCCGAGTATTATATTAATCGGCGTTCTCCGCTTCCCCTTGTAACCCAGAAATCGGCTGGATATAACTGACGTACCGACTAGTTTTTGTTGTCGGGTTTTTTTGAATTTCATCGTGGAAAATGCAAAAATCTGAGCGTGTGAACGTATGGTAGTTTTGTCGAAATGTCCGCAGAAAAACGTTCGTTTACGTGCGAGATTATACTTTTTTACTTTTTTTTTTTTTTGTTACTGTTTGGCGCAACGATACCTACCTATATTATGTGTACGAAACGTTCAGAATTTTGATTTGTATCGCAAAACAAACGCGCTGTTGACTTGAGATTTTCCGTACCCGTCCGGGTATCGAGGGTTCTTATCAAACGATGATGTTCACGGTACGCCCATAGAATAAACGTATATAATAACCAGAAGTGACATTCGTCCCGATGTGAACAAAACCGCGGCGTAGCTATCTCGGTGCGTTTACCAGTCGTTGTCGAATATATGGCGTATTGGTATTTGATTAAAAAAAAAAAAAAAAAAAACCTAACAGCGATTTGTGAAATGTCAGCGAATTTGCGATTGCGATGCGAATTTCACCCGTAGACCGGTCATACCGATCGAACAATTGGGAAGATGGGAGCGGTTTTTCGGTGTTTTTTTTTTTTATGCTTTTCGGAACGTACGCAATATTCGTCGAGTGAAATGGAATAAGAAAATATTTAAAAATGCGTTCTCCAGAGTTGAGAGCATGTTTACAACTATAATAATCGTATTACGTTTTTTTTCGGCCCGCGTTATGTTTCGTCGTGGACGTAAAATTTTCAACCGTGTCCCGTGCAAGAGTCACGTTTACCTTCACGAGATTCGCTGTTCGCATGCAGTTTACAGGCACGTGCCTCGTATTATAATAATTCAGATCGCGGACGTGCCGTGAACAAAGTATGTTTGTTTACGTAGTGATTGGTATTTGTTCGACCATTTTTTTTTTCTTTCGCGTAAGTGCCTCTTATTTAATCTGTCGATTTTTCACGTTTTTGTCTCGTCTGGTATCCGATATTCGGAAAATAAGAAAACAAATGGTATAGCGGATGAAGGGAAACGACGAGATATTGCGCTATATCTTATTGTTAGGTTTAAGCGAATTGGGTAGGGTGCGGGGACGTAACTGGCCGGTGATATAAATGCGGGGCTGTGTAGAGGTCATTGTGTGAGATATCGTGGGTGACGGAATATGGCGAAACGACTTTGGCGGAT